ACAGCAGGCCAAGCAGCATTAGAGGAACAGGAAAGCTGACGCTTTGGGTCTAGACGAAGGGTCTAGACCTGAAACGTCAGCTTTCCTGCTCCTCTGATGCTGCTTGGCCTGCTGTGTTCATCCAGCTCTACACCTTGTTATCTCAAAAACTTCTAATTAATTTGTCAAACATGAGTTCCTTTTTGTGAAACCAGGTTGATTTTGTCTGATCATACTATGATTTTCTAAGTGCATTGTTAAGACTTTATTACAAATAGAATCCATCATTTTCCTGGTGAATTATGCGAACTCATTGTAGTTAACCCCCTCTCTCTCTAATTATATTTGCTAACTTTCAAGATGTCAAGACCGTTCTAGATGCTAGACAATTATGCAAAATCATAACCAAGGCATACACTATCTCTGCAGCTACCTCTTTTAGAACATTTGAATGAAGGCCATCAGATCCTGGAAATTTGCTGGCTTTAAGTTCCTTAGGTTTCTTCAATAATTTTGCTTTCTTGATATTACTTACTGTAAATTGCTCACACTGACCAGCCACTTGTTTACGTACTGTTTCTGGTATACTGTTTGGGTCATCTGCTGTGAACACAGATGTAAAAGGTTTCTGCTGTTTCCTCATTCTCCAAGATAATTTCTCACTCTGTCTGTAATGGATTAATGTTTACTTTAGCAACTATTATTTTTATATACTTGTAAAACTTATACAATGTGTTTTTCAATCCTGGTTAGTTTAATTCCACTTTTTCCTTTTGCTGTTCTAAATTTCCCAATCTCAGGGTTTTTCTTTACAACATCATACACCCTTTCTTTTCATCCAATATCATTTTTAATTTTCCTTGTAAGCCATGGATGGATCTTTCTTGCTGAAGTTTTGTTTTTAATGCAATGTATTATTGTTGAGCATTTTGAATGGTTTTGTTAAATGTTTTCCACTCATTATTTGCAATCAAAGCTTTTAGTTACCTAATCTACCTTGGCCATCTCTTCTGTCATATGGATGTAAAGTTTAAAAACTTTTTTCAGCCTGAAGTATGTTGCTTTCAAACTTGAACTTGAATTCAATTGTATTATGCATATTTTTCCAAGAGGATTTTCACTATTACATTACCAGGTATTACGAAAATGGCACAAAGGTTTTTGTCTTGCAGTTATCAGAACATTTGCAAGGATACCAGTATAAAGGAAAACAAAATATTGAACTGAATAAGAAGAAAAAGCTGATTTGTTGGCAAGTGGATTGGTAGAGGAGTTTCCATTGAGAATGCACCAGTTAAATGATGACTGACAGTTAACTGTCAAACTTTGTTTAAACTTAAATTAGTCAGGTTGACGCTCATTGGTCAAGTCTTTACACTGAGGATTAATCAGCAATAGCTGTTTCCTATTTTGTTAAGTTTAAACTGTGCACAAATTCTCTCTGTCTATAAAGAACACCACCCTATGTATTAAAATAGTAGCTTCTGGTACATGTAAGTGCACCGCACTGCAAGCTCACCTGCTAACAGGAACCTATGCTTACAAATTGAGCTGCATCTCTGTAATTCCTTCTGTATAACAGAGGGCTTACTGTATAGGCTGTTCCTGCACAATCTTACTCCCATGCTATTGTCTTATATCTGGACTACCATCTTGTCTTCCATTGGAGAGTCAGAAAGGAGACAGGCTATCTATTCTGCTGTCCTTCTGCATCACTGCAGTCTGGGAATAATATGTGTTAGATAGAGTTGTCAAGTGCAACAGTTTTTATTAACATCCTTAAGACAGAAGACCATAAGACATGGGAGCAGAAATTAGGCCATTCAGCCCATTGAATCCGCTCAGCCATTCAATCGTAGCTGATAAGTTTCTCAACCCATTCTCCTGGCTTCTCCCTGTAACCTTTGATCATCATAACAATCAAAAACCTATCTACCTCTGTCTTAAGTATACTTAATGACCTGGCCTCCACAGCCTTCTATGGCAATGAATTCCAAAGATTTACACTCTCTGGCTGAAGAAGTTTCACCTTATCCCTGTTCTAAAGGTTCTTCCCTTTGCTCTAAGGCTATGCCCTCGGATTCTAGGCTCTCCTAATTGAAACATCTTCCCTATGTCCGCTCTGTCCAGGCCTCTCAGTATTCTGTAAGTTTCAATTAGATGCCCCCTCATCCTTCTAA